ACCCAGGACTGGTCTACTTTAGGATGGACTGGTTGGATCTCCTTGCAGTCCAAGGGACTCTCCAGACACCACAGTTCAAAAGCATCAATTCTTCGGCACTCAGCTTTCTTCACAGTCCAACTCTCACATCCATACATGAGTACTGGAAAAACCATAGCCTTGACGAGATGGACCTTTGTTGGCAAAGTAATGTCTCTACTCTTTAATATGCTATCTAGGTTGGTCATAACTTTCCTTCCACGGAGTAAACGACTGAACATAACACACATAGCACGTTGGACATACATATCTTTCTGTAGCTTGCTTTTCTCTCTCAACATTGTTTTTGAGATTTTCTGTTGTACTTACAGTTCTATTCATTTATTAATATTTTAACTGCCACACATTATTTCATCAAATGAATGAGTATACCATTTTAATGTATTCTCTGCCAGTGGACATTACCTATAATTTTGAATATTTCTGCATAGCTCTCACTTCATATCCCATTGCTCACCACCAATCTCAGAGGTAACCGCTGTCCTAAACTGTGTTAATTTTTTAGTGACTTAGAGATACATATTCTTAAACAATATATGATTTGTTTTGCATGTTTTTAATGTTTATGTAGTACAGTCTTACTATATTATTTAGTGACTTTCTTTTTTTGTTCAACATAATTTTGAGGTTTATTCATGTTGATGTGATGTGGCAATAGTCATTTATTTTCACTGTGTACATTATTCCACTATTTGAATATATTATGATTTATGGACATTTAGGTTGCGTCTGACTTGTTAGTATTACAAACTGTATATAATCAGCATCCTTGTACTTGTGTGCTGATTTTCTCTGAGATACATACCTCCTAATAGAATGACTAGGGTATAGATAATGTATGTGCATCTTTATGTTCACTGGATATTGATAAGTAGCAATTATATTATCAGTTAATTATACATATTTTCTAATTTCTAATTTGACCCTTGAGTTTAAAATGCATTTTAAAAACTTGCAAATATATAAGATTTTTATTACCAGTTTTTAACTTAATTGCTCTCTGGTCAATTAATAATGCCTATTTCTTACTAATTCTTTGTTACCTGTTGAGACTTTTGCTTTATAACATAATGTGTGGTCAGAATTTATCCAGGTTTTAGGCAGTTTTTATAAATATTCCACATGTGTTTGAAAGTAATTCATTATCTAATTGTTGGTTTCCCATAAATTCTGATCATTGAATCCCATAGATTCCAATGGTTTCCGAAAGTAATTCATTATCTAATTGTTGGTTTCCCATAAATTCTGATCATTGAATCCCATAGATTCCAATGGTTTCCAATTACTTTTGCTTTACATATTTTGAGGCTTTGTTTTTAGGTACATATAGATTAAATAAGAGTTGTTTTATATTTCTGGTAATTTTATTTTTTTTTTGGCAGTTATATAATGATCTTCTTTATCTCTCATAATGCTTTTTCTTCAAAGTTTACATTTCCTGAGAGTACTTTAGCTATGATTGGCTTTTTAATCATTTTACTGGTGTTTTGTTTACATACTTAAAAATTTTTCTCTCATGTTAATATTTTTAGTATGTCTCTTGGAAGCTCCATAATTTTCCAAGCAGGATTTTGTTTATTTAGTTTGAATTTCCTGTATTTTAACTGTTAAGTTTAAACTGTTTACATTTATTACCACTAGTGGTATATCTGAACTTACTCCTACCAGATTATTATTTGTTTTCTGTTTACCCTGCTTTTTTCCTCAGCTGTTTTTCACCTTCTTTCCTATCCAGGAAAGAACAGTTTGAACAGTTTTTCTTTATTCCTTTTATTCTTGTTTACCCCTAAAATTTTAACATGCGCTTGGCATTTCTGAGACTTAACATTAAAATCAGTATGATTACCTGAATAATACAGGGACCATGGAAATCTTTAATTCATTGACCCTCCACCAATTTTCTAAGGTTTTGACCAGTATTTTAATTACATTTTTTAATCACTCAAATTAGTTTTAATTTTTATACTAACTTTCATTATTTTCTAATATCCAAGGCAATTGTGAAGTCCTTATTTAAACTTGTTCTTTGTTTTTTTCATTTATTTTTATTAGTTGGAGGCTAATTACTTTACAGTATTGTAGTGGTTTTTGCCATACATTGACATGAATCAGCCATGGATTACATGTGTTCCCCATCCTGAACCCCTCTCCCACCTCCCTCCCCATCCCATCCCTCTGGGTCATCCCAGTGCACCAGTCCTGAGCACTTGTCTCATGCATCCAACCTGGACTGGCGATCTGTTTCACACTTGATAATATATATGTTTCGATGCCGTTCTCTCAGATCATCCCACCCTCGCCTTCTCCCATACAGTCCAAAAGTCTGTTCTATACATCTGTGTCTCTTTTTCTGTCTTGCATATAGGGTTATCGTTACCATCTTTCTAAATTCCATATATATGCATTAGTATACTGTATTGGTGTTTATCTTTCTGGCTTACTTCACTCTGTATAATGGGCTCCAGTTTCATCCATCTCATTAGAACTGATTCAAATG